GCTTTTAAATAGACCAAAAAAGCCCAATACAGCTTTGAGCTCATTAAGACTAGAATTACTGAAGCTTATATCTTGTCTCTACCAAACTTTGATCAAATGTTTAAGGTGGAATGTGATGCATCCAATTCTGGAATAGGTGCTATTTGAAGTAAATGAGGAAAGCCTATAGCATTTTTTAATGAGAAGCTCAATAAAGTTAAGAGAAAGTATTCAACCTATGACAAAGAGTTCTACGCCATTTATAGGCCTTTATTCCATTAGAGTCAGTATCTCATCCTCAAGCCATTTGTCTTATATTTAGACTATAAGGCCTTGAAGTTTGTCAATAGCTAACACAAGCTCAACCAAAGACATACAACTTGGATGGAGTTTCTTTAAGCCTACAACTTCACTATCAAACATAAATTAAGAACTCAAAATATGGTGGTAGATGCTTTAAGTTGAAAACATTCCTTATTGGAGACTATTGCTATTGAAGTTATTAGATTTGATGTGATCAAAGGGCTTTATGAGATAGATCCTTACTGTGGCTAAATTTGAGAAGAATGCAAACAAAGACCACACAATTAGTTTTTTTGCATGATGGTTATCTCCTCAAGGCTAATAGCTTTTGCATTCCCTTATGTCCTTGAGATAGGCCTTAATCAAAGAGGCTCATAATGGTGCACTAAGTGGACACTTTGGCTTGCTCTTTTACAGGACAGGTTTTATTGGTCGAGAATGGAGAGGGATGTGATAAAACACCTTGTATGATGTAGAGTGTGCCACATTACCAAGAGTCATGATCAAAACACTAGATTGTATACTTTATTACCCATGCTTAATGTTCTTTGGAAGGATGTTAGTTTAGACTTTGTAATTGGACTACCTAGAACTTAAAGGAACAAAGACTTTATCATGATGGTTATGGATCATTTTTCCAAGATGGCCCATTTCATTCCTTATACCAAAACTATAGATGCTTTTCATGCTTCTGATCTATATTTCAAAAAAATTGTGAGGCTACATGAAGTTTCTAGATCCATGATGTCTGATCGAGATTCTATATTTTTTAGTCATTTTTGGCACACCCTTTGAAGGAAGTTTGGCACCAATCTCAAGTATAGATCTTTTCATCATCCTCGAATAGATGGTCAAACAGAAGTAACCAATCATAGCTTAGGCAACCTTCTAAAAAGTTATGTGGGAAAAAATATCAAGTAGTGGGATCTTGTTTTACCTCAAGTAGAGTTTACCTGTAATCTCTCATCAAGCCAAACCATTAGTTACAGCCCTTTTGAGATGGTGTATGGTAAGAATTCAATTAGCTCTTTAGATTTAGTTCATCTTTCTACTAATCAATAATTTAGTGAAAATGTAGAAAAAATGGCTAAAGGTATCAAACAATTGCATAAACAAGTGAGAGTTAAGATTTTACAATAAAATGAGAAATATAAAAAGGCAGCAAACAAGCATAAAAAATATTTTAAGTTCAAAAAAGGTGATTTAGTGTGGATTAACTTGCAGAAAGAGAGATTTTCTCAAAAAAAAAAGTTTGGTAAATTACAACCTAAGGTAGATGGTCCATTTAGAATTCTCCAACGCATAGGGGTGAATGCCTACAAGATAGAGCTTCCTAACACTTATAAAGTATCTTTTACCTTCAATGTTGCTAATTTGTCACCCTATTATGGCGAGAAGACTAATTCAAACTTGAGGACAAGTCTTTTTCAACCAGAGAAAACTGACACCGGAGTGTCAATACATTTTACAACTTAGGCTAAGACTAAAGAGGACTTATCCAAAAATAAGATGGGCCTATCCTTGGTCTAAATTCACTAAATAAATGCATAAATAAGGTGGGCTAGAATAGGGAGATTGTGTTCACACTAGCTGAAAAAGAAGAGCATGAATATGGATAGAATTGTGGTCAAATTCATTATCATGTAATTTGCAGGAGTAAATGAGTAGATTATGTTCACATGTAAATCCCATGATTTTAGACACGATTCTAGCAATGCAATCTGAAAGTTCCCATGCTTGGAAGGATGTTCCTAGCCTATATATTTTTTATTCTTCTTTGGTAGAAGGCAGAATAAAGCTTTCTTTATCCTTAAGCAATCTTTTATATTATTCTTTAAGTTTTGTATCTTTTAGATGGATTTTCTAGAATGGTGAACTTCTATTGTTCTGTATCCTTGATTAGAATTCTTAGGGTGGTGTTTTTGTATCCCTTAGTTTCTAGTCTTGATAATGAACTTTTATCTCTTTTAATCCAATAATCATATTCTACCATTATTCAAATCCTTGTGAGTTTTTTTTTTTTTTTGTGAGTTTTTTTGTTTGGAATTAATCTCCAAATCTTAAATATCAATTTTTGACACACTAAACACAGTAATTGATCATTGTAATCTTTTAAAAATGTGTAAGAAACTCAATTATTATGTTTATTTGAAGATAAATGTAGTATTTGATCACTATAATTTATTTAAAATATTCAATTACTATGTTTTTTTAAGCTAAACGTAGTAATTGTTTATTGTAATTTTTTTAAAATAATCAATTACTATGTATCTTTCAACTAAACGTTGAATTATTCATTATAATTTTTTTAAAACATATGTATAATTAATTACTACATGAAATTAACGTAGTAATTAATGACTATTTTTTTTATAATTGGACATTCGAATACTGCATTTTTACGATTTGAAATGTATTATTTGTTGATTATTTTTTTGACAAATTGTTGTGTTTGTTATGTAGTGAAAAACATTATAGTCAAAATATATAATTAAGTAATCTAACTTTCCCCCCAACCAAACACAAAAATCTAACAATCCCATGCCATGAAGAATCACCTAGTGCCAAAAATTCACAATTTTTTTAGGATCACACTTTTTCCTATAATTTAAGATTCCGCAAACCACATACCCTTTTAAGATTTTACTTAAAGTCATCTTATAATTTAATTAGATTTTTTATTAAGTTATTTACTTAATTATATTTTAATATTTTGAAAATATTTTCTAATAGATAGTTGATTCCCCAAAAAAATTTTATGTTTTATACAAAATTTGCCTAGAGTAATCAAATGCCATTTTTGGAAAATTAAAAAATAAATTTGTTGGCATGATACCTGATTTTAAAAGTGATAATTCTTCATCCGAGAGGAGCCCATTGCAGCTTCTAAATACTTTTACTAACATTTATTTCATACAACTTTTCATTCCATTATTTGAAGAATCCAATCGTTCTTCATCACTCTTTTTTTTTTTTTTTTAAATTCAAATGAATTCAAAAGGAACTTGAAGTGCAATCTTATTCGTCTTTATTTAGGGCATTGTATGTTGCGAGAATGTTTTCAAGAATCCATGTACATGAAAAACAGTTATCCTTAAAATAACTTTTTAGATAAGTTTCTTCCTCTTCAATTAGATTGAATTAATCCGCCACCATCACACACAACATTAAGGGGGTAAAGTGGCTTTTTCAAACTAGAGAAAGATTTGGATGTTTATTTTATGTAAGAGGGTTTGTGTATTTCGCCGGTTAGAGAAAGTGGAGTTGGAATTCACTCCATACGTATTTGGAGTGTCCAATCTAATCCAAGTTAAAACCTAGGAGGAATGAGAAAGTGGGTTGTGACGCAAAGGGACAAAATCATCCGATTGCAAGTAACGGCCCACCCCAACTACTAAAAGAGCCCAAGTGTGAGAAAATGTCAACAAGATAAAGTTAAGAAAAAAGTTGCAAGAAGTAACCTAAGTAAGGGATAATGTAGAAGATTATGTATTATCACTTCGATTATATTACAAAAAAAATAATAAAAACCAACAAAGCAGAGCAACGTCAATGCTTTTGGCTTATCGGTTGGTATTTGTCACTGGTTGTTGGTATTTTTGTCATTAGTTATATACATTGTTTGTCCTTTGTGTTTGCTTTTTTTTCTTTTTCTTTGTATATTATGTTTAAAATGTTGGCTTTTGTCCGGTGTGAATGAATATGAATGGATGAGTCCTTTTTCTTCCTCGACTTTTTATCAAAGACCAAAATCTTTCTATAGAAACTACCAAATGCAGGCTTAAAAGATTCCTCAGTTCACCTTTCATCTTCGTGTATATCCACACGTTCACCTATATCTCTTAAAAAAATTTATCTCATATACATGCCCGGTTGGCAGAATTAGAAATTTGACATATATATATATATTAAATATTTTTGAAAAATTAAAAATTTTATATAATAAAAAGACATTTGATAAACTTTTAAACATGTTTGTGGAATTTAAATATTTCACCGTTATAAAAATGTCAAATAATAATTTATATAATAATAGTCAACAATTAATTGATTTGCTGATAGAGTATTATATTTTTAATTTTAGTCATTATAATTCAATTTTTACCAATTTCAAATAAAAAAATTAAATAATAATTTATATTATAATAGTCTCATAAAAAATGTATATATTAATACTATTCTTCCAACCTAATTCTTTGATAATCTTTTCCTTTTTTAAGTTTTGAAAATATATTTTCTTTTCTTTTGAACACTAGAAATTCTAATTTTTTTTTTTTTTTTTTTGGAATTAAAAGTTTTGATACAATTTTATAATACCCATTTAAACTTTACATATGGACTATGACAGAAACGAAAATTTGATGACAAAAACAATAGGTATAGTATAAGTTTAAATTTTCAACAACCTTAGATAGAAGGTAGTAATAAATAAATAAACAAAAAGTGAAAAAGCAAGTGATATTAGCTTTTTTTTTTCCTTAGAAAATAATACACTGTCTACTTCATTCAAAAAATTGGCACTATCAATTTTTCTTTTAAATTTTAATCTCCGTGACTTTAAACATTTATTTGAGGAAATTTTATATAAAAAAAAAAATTTGAAAACTAATTCATTAATTTTTTTAAAATACTTTTTTTTTATTTTTACTAGTAATAAATAAAAAAATAAAAGATAAAAATGACAAATTAATTAGAGGAAAAATATGTAAAAAAAAAAAAAAAAATCCCGGGCTCGATCTGCCTCTCCTCTCCTCTCAATATAAAAATAAAAACCAAAAAGGGCGAAGCGAACCTTCCCTCACCTCACCCGCCGCCTTGAACCTGAGCAAAGGGAGGGAGGCCATTGCTTTTTTGCTTTATCCCTGATATCGATTTTCACACTCACTTTTTCACATTTCACATTCTGATTCTGGAAACATATCACGGTTTGGACTTTGTAAAGACCGTCAGTCATTGTGAACAAGGAAGAGGTGGCTTTTCATTTTGATTTTGAGCCTCTTTGGTATTATCAGACCGAGACCAAAGCCCCGGTTGTGCTATAAATAACTCTCTTTGCTCCTCCCCTTTTATCTGTTTTGTTTAGGTCCAAAAACCAAAAAGAAAATGAAGTACGTGCTGGTTACGGGAGGTGTAGTGAGCGGTCTGGGAAAAGGGGTAACTGCCAGTAGCATCGGCCTTCTCCTTAAATCATGCGGCCTTCGTGTCACTGCCATTAAGATTGGTACTTGTGCAATTCCAATGCTTTCACTTATTCACTCAATCAATCACGAATGACACTTTTTTTTTTTTTTTACAATATGTGTAGATCCTTATCTCAACACCGATGCTGGTACAATGTCTCCTTTTGAGCATGGGGAGGTGTTTGTCCTTGACGATGGCGGCGAGGTATTTTTCTTTTCACGTGTTCTAACCAAAGCTCCCATGCTCAAATCTTGATGATGTGAATTAACCTTGTTCTGCATTTGAAGGTGGACTTAGACCTTGGAAACTATGAGCGATTTCTTGACATCACATTAACGCGTGACAATAATATAACAACTGGGAAGATTTATCAGGTCTCTTCACACATCTTTCTTATCTGCGTCCAAGATTTGTACCATTTGAAACTCTCTCTTCAATGCTATGCCTTTTTTATTTTTGACAGTCTGTTATTAACAAGGAGAGAAAGGGAGATTATCTTGGAAAGACTGTCCAGGTATATTCTGAACAAAGCTTTCTAAATGTGTTATGCTTCTTATAATTTCCTAATTTCATATTTCTTCTTTGCTCTAGGTTGTTCCTCACATTACAGATGCCATCCAAGAGTGGATAGAAAGTGCAGCAATGATGCCAGTTGATGGAGAGGAAGGTCCTGCTGATATTTGTGTCATTGAATTGGGTGGAACTATAGGTACATTCACTTCAACAATGTGTGTTTGCTGCATTTGCACTTCCTTTGTGGTTCTTACTTGCAACTTTTCTTGATCCAGGTGACATTGAATCTATGCCATTTATTGAAGCACTTGGTCAATTCTCGTACCATGTTGGTAAGAATATTCTGTTATGCTTCCTTATCTAATTGGTTTATGTGAATTTTCTTTCAAATGTTCTGCTGTTGGGATAATAATTTCACTTTGTGCCTCTTGTCTTAGGCCCTGGCAATTTCTGTTTGGTTCATGTCAGCCTTGTGCCTGTTCTCAATGTTGTTGGCGAACAGGTATTCCTAAAGACTTTGTATCTCTTAATCCTTCATTTTTATATCTTGTGTATGGTAGATCATGGCTATTGTGAATGAAAGTGAGAGAACCTGGTGTGTGAAATCAACTTCTGTGCTTGATGATTCATTATTTCTAATTATCATTATAACAAATTCAAAAAACAGAAAACAAAGCCTACCCAGCATAGTGTTCGGGGACTTAGAGGACTTGGCTTGACACCAAATATTCTTGCTTGTCGCAGTACAAAGGTTTAACAGTCATTTCTCATTTTTGACTGTATGTACCAGTGCTGATTTTGCATTTCTTATTCATTCACACACCCATTTTTTTCAACAGGTGCTTGATGATAATGTCAAGGAAAAGCTCTCTCAATTTTGCCATGTGCCGGTAATGCAACATGAATGCTATTTGTCTGCTTCTCTGGCATTTATAAAATGAATAACTACCATTATTAAGCAATATGACTTATTTCCAGGCAGAAAGTATTTTCACCCTCTATGATGTTCCAAATATTTGGCACATTCCATTACTACTGAGAGTAAGCAGTTCTCCTTTTGAGTTTATTGTTTTCTAACTTCATAAGACAAAACTACAGCGTAAGTATGCCTTTTTATTTGCTAATTAATTTGTTTATTTTCTGATAATGAATAGGATCAAAAGGCACATGAAGCAATCTTGAAAGGACTGAACCTTCTAGGGTTTGCCTTATGCTCTCTTTAATCCATCCCCTCCTTCATTGATTCATTCTTTTTTTTTTTCTTATCGCATGATCTATCTTCACTTCTTCTATGTTCTCTTTATGTTTTGTCTGTGATGAGAATTTTTTTTTATGCTTCAACATCTGGCTGTAGTTTTCTGGTATGTATATTTACAATCTATGAATTGCAGGATTGCAAGGGAACCTGACTTAACTGAGTGGACTGCTAGGACCAAAGTTTATGACATGCTTCATGATCCTGTGGGTCCCAAGCATCAGTAAAGTATGAGTTATTTGTATTTATTTGCATATGGTGAAAATCGTAATGCTTTTTGCTGCCATCTTAGGTTAAAATTGCCATGGTTGGAAAATACATTGGGCTTAAAGATTCTTACCTCTCCGTGTTAAAGGTGAAAGCTTTGTTAGTTCTGAAAAAAAGGAAAAGCTTTATCTTTTATTATTATTATTTATCTCTGCCCCCTCCACCAAGTGATTTCAATCATTTAATGCAATCTTTGTATTAGTTATTTGTGCGCTAGGTAGCCCCATCCTCCATCCCGCTAAATACGCTATCTTCCAAGTAGTTGTTCGGCTCATCTTAGTGAAGAGCTTTACTAGTGCAAAAGTAGTAGCAAGGTGTATGGCTCTCGAAAGTTTAAAATTTGTAGCTTTTGTGGGAAAGCCTGTTTTGGCCTTTAGATGAAGTTATAAATCAAAACTTATTCAAAAATTTCTAATTTGTAGTAAAAAGTATTTAGTAAGAATTTTTTTTGCATTTTCAATCTTCCCTTAGTTCATGAAATTATAAGATGTATTATTTTGTTTTACATTTTTTTTTCTATTTGGTTCAATTTTTATTTTTATTTTATTTCTTTTTTATAGCCAATTAAAAAAAGTTATTCTGTTTCTTTCTTTCACTTTAAAATTTCTGTTTGGTTTAATGATGTTGAGTCGTTTATTTTATTTATTTTAAAAGTAAATAAAAATATTATTGAATGATAATTTGAATTTTTTATTTCCAATATCCTACAACACTTTTACATTAAGTTTGCCAAACACTATTTGAACTTCTCTTTGTAGAACTCCTCTGGGCTGCTTTATGCATGTCTGATCCCTAATGTTTTATAACAACTCTACTCTTACAGCACTTTCCTATAGAAGCTCTAGTTGGGCCAAAGAAGCTCTAAAGGATAGAAGGGTATTAGGCATTCTTTGGAAATGGTTTCTAATATCTGAGGTTTATTGTGATAGGCACTTTTGCATGCTTCTGTTGGCTTTCAGAAGAAGCTTGTTGTAGAGTGGGTTGAAGCAAGTCATCTTGAAGATATTACTGCTATAGAGGTCAGTTTTGATTGTAATTTTTGCTGCCCTGATTTTCACAAAGTTTTTTTCTTGTAAATTTTTGCTGGTAAAGAACATATTTCCTTACCACTTTTATTTCTTGTAGTACATATATACTCACAATGTCTATAATATACACCTTACAGGATCCTGACACTTATAAAGCAGCATGGAATTGCTTGAAGGTTTTTTCACTCCATGATTGTTGACTTGGAATGATTTTTTTTTTTTTTTTTGTGTTTATATTCTTCTGTTTCTCTTGAGCTATTTCCTTCAAAATCCTCTAAAAGGCCTCTTATTGCAGGGTGCTGATGGTGTCTTAGTTCCTGGAGGTTTTGGTGATAGGGGAGTGCAAGGGAAGATTCTTGCTGCAAAGTATGCTCGCGAAAGTAAAGTTCCTTTCCTGGGCATCTGCCTCGGGATGCAGATAGCTGTCATGGAGTATGCACGTTCAGTTCTTGGTTTGTATGATGCAAACAGTACAGAATTTGATCCTAAAACATCAAATCCTTGCATCATATTTATGCCAGAGGTGTATAAACTTATATTATTTTTGAAAAAAAAATAGCCTTGTCTAGTCCCATTATGTGAAGAGGTATGAATTGTTTTATTTCACAGGGTTCAAAAACTCATATGGGAGGAACCATGCGTCTTGGATCAAGGAGGACTTACTTCAAGGTTCCTGACTGCAAATCTGCCAAGTTGTGAGAACATGGCTCTCTTAAGCTTACATGCTTATATAGGATGTTATGAACTTCTTGAAATCCTTTAGCGGTTCTTTTATTGTATGCATAATTTTTTTTAAATAGTTGTTTTATTTTAGGTATGGTGATGCAACCTTTGTTGATGAACGGCATCGGCATAGATATGAGGTAGTCTACTCATGCATGGGATTATGGGATGCTATATGTGAGTGCAAGATGGTTTATTTTCAAGTTCTTAAGAATGATTTTCATCCTGTGTAGGTGAATCCTGATATGATATCAAAACTTGAAGCAGCTGGTTTGTCATTTGTTGGCAGAGATGAAACTGGTAGGCGGATGGAGGTAAGTTACATACAAAAGTGGCACAGCTTATCTCTATGAAAACCCAGGCTTTCTGTGCTCAACATTTTTACTGATTGTTCTATATTTAGTCCCTGATGGTTATGAGCATTGTATGTTGGCTGCACAGATTGTTGAACTACCAAGCCATCCATATTTTATTGGTGTTCAGTTCCATCCTGAATTCAAGTCCAGGCCAGGAAAACCTTCTGCACTTTTCTCTGGTACTCATCCATAATTTTTTTCATATCTGGCATAAAGGTTTTATATTGGTTGCAGCATAATTGCTTGGTTTTTAGATTATTTGATCCTTATAGGTGTTATACCTCTACTTGGTTAATGATGCATTTTCTTCAGAAATCACTAGAACAGTTAGCTAAATTTAAGGAGGCTACTGCACGTAGGACATTTTGCTCCTTTTAGTATGTGCAATAATTGAAGGTGATTTGCTGCTTCTGTTCTTGTTGCTCCTAGTTCTCATTAAATGCAAACATTTTCACTATTTTTGGCAACATTACACATTTGTTAGTTGCCATAAATGAGATCATTTAGAATGCTGAAGCGGCAAATACTTTTGTGGCAACTGCCTCGGAATCCTCAACCTGGAGAGTTAATTGTTTAAATCTGCAAAGAAGGTTTGCTTGGATTAATTCAAGGTGGAGGCGGAGTTTTAGAGTTGGAGTTGGGTGATGCAGAATGCTAGTTTGGTAATTGACCTAAAGAAGATTGCATCTCACAAACACAATAGCACTAATTCCGAAAAATATGTTATCATAATAATCTGTCTTCAAAAGAAAGAGTACATTGATATTTATATGGCTAATAGCAAGCCTAATCCTATAAGAACTAGAACTCCTATCAGAAGTAGTACTTTAAGGAAAATACTTAAGGCTCCTACAAGAAAACTAATAAACTTGACTTAAAAAACAAACCTTAATATGGTAAGGAAAAAAATTAAGATACTAAACCTAATGTAAATGTGAAATTTCAAATGAAAATTTCCATAGAATTGTTTTTCTAATGCTACTCAATCATTGAAGGTATGAGGACAATTTGAAATGTTCACCACTTCTAGTGAGTTTTATGGTGAAATCAATGGACTGGAATGAATCTTGGTGAAAGAGACGACTATAACAGATCGTGACTATCTTTGTCTCGACTTTCTTGTATACAAGATTATAGGATCTGATAAAGCATGGGGTTTGAGAATTGTTGGGTTGTGACAATCACACTTTTCTAGCATGTAGGATCATTGCCTTTACTTATGTAGCAATATATTATTGTATCTTATGATTCTTTTATTTCATGAAGGAACACCTTAAATCATCTGTTGAACTTTGACAATCAAGTTAAGTTTATATATATTTTTTGTCAATCCCCAGGACTTATTGCAGCATCATGTGGGCAGTTGGATTCACTTCTAAACAATATTGATCATGTGAGCAAAGTGATGGCAAATGGGATAAGTAATGGAAAAACAACTTTTAAGGCCAGAGAAAATGGGAACTATTTCAAGTCTTTGAATGGTTCATTAAATGGCGTGTACAGCAATGGTAACGGTGTGCACTATTAAGGAAGCTGTGTGATAGAACTGTTATGGTTTTGGGTTTAAGTCTCTCCAAGAGCTTTTGATAGAGAACTCTTTATGTTAATGGGTTTAAAGTTTTTGATAGAACTCGGTTCTGTTTGTACAGTGGTTGAGTACGGGTAGGGATTTTAGCGCTTGAGGAACTTCCTTTTCAGGAAGTAACTGGTTTTAGAGTGTTTTAATGACACAGATAGTATATGCGAGCATCTTAGAGAGAATTTGGACAAGAAGGTAGTAAACACGTCCAAAGTTGAACTTTAGTATCCTCTGTTTGCCAGGATTTTGGCTGTTCGATTGTTAGAAGAGAATGTCCCATGTACAATTCACGACCTAGCCGCTGCCACTATACAAATCTGATATGTTTGCAGTAAAAAAACTGACATGATGCTTAGATTAAAGAAATTGAAATTTCTCTATGTTGATGACTCATTTCCGTTCTTTTTTTTTTCTTTTCAATTAATAGGAAGATTTTAGTTGATCGTTGCCTAAATTTGTTTTGGGTAGCCAATTCGATTGCTATTTATGATGTGACTGTTACTTTGATGAATTGTGTAGAATATGTATTGAAACGTGTTGTCTCAACAAAAGGTCCTTTTGAGCATAAACTCCCAAGGCCATGTTACCTTGTCCAGATAACCTACTGGTGATTATGCCACTTTAGGTTGTACTAACGGAAATTGTGCTATTAGAGGTTGCCCCTGGGTGTACTTAGTTGAAGATTTTGAGGACATTTTACTCCCAAACCTGAGTAGGTTGTTGATAAGTCTGGTTAGTATGCTTCCAAGTTTGATTTAGTCTCGTAGATTTTACTTGGACCCTTCCTACATGCGGTTGAACACCATCAATTTCTCTAACCTGGGAACCATACCCCATATTAGGTCGGTTACCTATACTTAGATTGGTCGTTGCCCCCATGACTTGGTTTTACCGTTGAGGAAAGCTTTGTTTGACTTGAACTCCTAATCCTAGGCCTTGGTTTGCTTGAGCCCCTTGCCTTGGGTTTGGTATCGCACTTAAACCTTTGTTCACTTGATGCACAAAGGACCCTAACTCTGAGCTTGATGAAACCCCAAGCCTTTAATTAGTGCATACCCCCTGACCTAAATTTGGTTGAGCTCCTATACATGGTTGCAGTGCAACAAATGGTTTAACAACAAGACTTCATGCCTCACCACCAAATTTTTGTATTGATGCAGTGGAAGTTGGCCCAAGGTTTGTTGAACTCCTCCACATGGTTGCGGAACAACAGGTTGGTTTGTCAAGAAATTTTCTTGTCTCAACGTTGGATATTCATATTGATGTAACGAATTCTGACTTCCACATAAGTCATTTTCTTTAATTTTCTAGCTCCTAAATTTTGTGAGCTTGGACTTTGTCCTGACTTTCGCCGGTCACTACCTCCTAAGCCTTGAACTTGAGATGTCACTAACCTGAGTTAAGTCTCTCACGTCTCTCAACTCCAATGTCCTAAACACACCCTTTTATAAGTGTTGGGCATAAAGCAAGAAGCATAATAACATAGAAATAATAAATCGTAATAAACTCATAACAAATAAATAATATTCAATAATTAATAACATAAAAAAAATAAAACATACCAAGGTTTACGTGAAAAATCTTTCAGTATTGAGGGAAAAATTACGGATCACTAGAAAAATTTTCACTATCAAATAATATATATATAAAGTTCTTCTTTAATTAAAATTAGAGCTAAATAATAATTAGAAAGATAATTGAATAAATCCCACCAAATAGATGACTCAACGAATATACTTTGGATGTGTTTTTAAAGAGTTTTGAATTTAATCTCCACCATTCTGAATGTAGACCACTGAGTTATAAACATACTTACAAAATTTCAGTTCAATCAAACCACAGATCAACCTTTGTTCAACCTTTGATCAAACTGCCAACTTTAGCCTTCTCTTTATTTTCTCTCTCATGGCAATTTTTTCCCCTCCTGACAACTCATGCTTTTACTTTCCATGCCTAATAAAACTAGCCCCACCACTTTATTACATATGGCTTTTTTTTTCCCTAAAACAAAGACCTATGACTTTAATTGGCCAAAATCAAATGGAGCTAGACCCTACAAATAACAATCTTCCTTTTAAGCTCCATTAGGAGGAGATCTATTACCATAGCAACCTCATTTGGAACTTATCATGGCCAAAGAATCATTCTAGCTAAGTTCCCACATAACTCATACTTTTTCCTAGGAAGTGTTTTAGTCAATATATCTGCTGCATTCTCATCAGTATGAACTTTATTCAATTGCATCTGCTGCTCTTCAATCACTAAATGCAATCAGTGATATCTAACATGAATGAGCTTTATTCTAACATGATACATTGTATTCTTACTCAATTCTAAAGCACTCTAGCTATCATAAAATACCACATACTTTTTTTTATTCAACCTTAATTCAAAAAGAAAACATTTCATCTAAAGCATTTCTTTACCTGCTTCTATTGCTACAATATATTTAGCCTTTGTAGTTGACAACACAATGCACTTTTGCAACTTAGATTGCTAAGACATAGTTCCTCCTACAAAAATGAACATATACCCTGAATTAGAAGTATTACCATCAATATCACCTACTATGTCAGCATTAGTAAACCTTTCTAGAATTGGTTGTATAGTTCTATAACTCAAGCACATTTTTGAGGTGCCCCTCAAATATCTGAAGATACATTTCATTGCTTTCCAATGAACCTTCCTCGAATTAGAAAGAAGTTTGTTCACTAAACCAACTGCATAAGCAATATCAGGCCGTGTGCAAACCATAAGATACATCAAAGAATTGACTGCAGAAAAATAAAGAATACAAGACATAGCTAGTTGCTCTTCCTTGGTCATTGAACAAGATTTCTTACTTAAATGAAAATGGTTGGCAAGTGGAATGCTAACTAATTTAGCATATTATATGTGGAATCTACTAAGCACTCATTTCACATACCTTTCATGTCACAGCCATAGCTTTATTTCGAATAATATCTGTAGACACCATATTTGGTTCGGCGCTTAAATAGTTTGGGCCCAAACCAATCGAGCCCAATTATCCAATTTTCTAAATTTTTTTTATTCTTTTATGATTTTATCTTTATTTTATCCCTTTATATATAAATCTTATTTATCTTGATTATTTATTTATTTATTTATTTATTTATTTATTTATTTAGTTTTGGTTTTTTTATTTGATTTTAGATTTTTTGGTTTATCTTTAATTTTAATTTCATTTATCTTTAAGTATTTATTTTGATTTCATTAGTTTTTTTAAAGATAATTCTTAAAAATAAAAAATGATTGGCTAAGAATCAATTAGGGGGTTGGTGATGAACTTGAATGGTAATTTGATTTTATCATAATTGGACTTGAATTGAATTTGAATTTAAGATAAATGTTTTTCTTTATGATAATGTAAATTTTGTGGAAACTGAGTTATAAGTAACTTGTAATTCTACTAAATTTCCACTTATAAAAAGACCTGCATATCATCACAGAAAGAACACACAACAGCAATTAGAGTATACACAGAGAAAATGATCAAGAAAGAGTAAAAAAAAATAGCCTAAAAGTGGGGTTCTTAATTTGAAGAAATTTGTTTTTAGGGATTTGGCGATTTGCTAGAGTTTGATTTAGTCCAATTTGGGAGAAACAGTGTGTGAGTGAAAGATCCAGTTAGTTCAAAAGGCTTCGAATTGAATTTCTGAAAATATTTTGAAATTTTTGAAAAATTATGGAAAATGTTTGAATTTTTTATGGAACTTTGCATTTTTTGACAGATTCTGGTAAGATTTGTAGTTTTCGACAACTTTTTTGGCAACATTTAAAGTTTTCGATAATTTTTGAATTTTTCGGTAATATTTTCCATATCACAACGAGTTTGCTATCGCCATTGACCAATTTTCTCTATCTAGAGAGAGAAAAGATAGTGAAGAACAAGAGAAGAAAAAAGGGTATAAGGATAAACAAAAAAAATTATACCTTTTATATCACTATAAAACAACGTCGTTTTTCTCCTAAAGGATTTTTAGGGTCCATGTTTCAACCTATTTACTCGACTCGATCTGCACGCAACTCGGTTTGCAACCAGTTCCTATCAGCTATAAACCCAAGTTGAGCTGAGCCGAGCCTCAATCCAGCCATTCTTACTGCCCATTTTCCTTGTAGCAGAGCTATTTTTCAATTGCTAAGCTGAGCCGTATTTCAAGTAATTTTTTATTTTTTTGTTTGATTATTTCTTTATTTATTCATGTGGTTATTTTTTATATGTTTATTTTTTTATTTTTTTTTATTTTAATTTATTTGCTTATTTATTCATTTGTAAATATATTATTTTATAAATACATCTTTAAACAGATAAAAAAGAACTTTACCAATATATTAGAGGATTCAAATTTCTAAGAAATAAACTTTGAATAAGAATTGAATCTTACCAACATATTGGAAGGTTTAGATTTTTAAAATAAATTGTTCAAAAAAATAAAGTCTTACCAACATATTGGAGAGCTTGTAATCATATTTTGCCAAATAAGGTTTTACCAACATATTGAAAAACTTTAAGAATTTTAACAAAAATTAAATTTCAAGAAAAACAAAAGAATAATAATAATTTTCAAAAAAGCCTTACCAACATATTGGAGGGTTTATGGTTTTATTTTTAGAAAAATAAGGTTTTACTAACATATTGGATAACCTTATAATTTTTAACAAAAAGTAAGTTTTTTTTTAAAGAAATAGTTTTCATAAAATCCTACTAACATATTGGAGGATAATCTTTAACAGAAAATCTTACCAAAATATTGGAAGATATTTCTGAAAATAATTATTTTTTTATAAAAATTAATTTTGAATCTTCAATGATAGAATTACTAAGAGTCTTGCAAATAGCAATCTTTATGTAAATTCCTAAGTAAGAAATCCCTTCTAAATGTTACCAACATATTGGAGAATTTAGGTAGAATTTTCGATACAAAGGTTTTCAATCTCATTTGTTATCACAAATAAAAGTTTTTACAAAAATTAAATGAGCCTAATGACAAAGCCTCTTCAAAGTGTAACAAATAATCTCCTTAAGTACTCATGAAGTAAAGGAATGTTCTTAAATTATTACCAACATATTGGAGTAATTTAAGAATAATTATCAATATTAAATTATTTGGCAAAATTTTTTTAAAGCTTTTGAATAACACAATATCAAACTAATACCATCCTTTGGATGAGTATTATAAAGGTGTTATAACTTTTCTCACATGTAACCGTACTACTTGACTTATTCTTCATTTTGTAGACATGAATCTACTTTTTAAATATACTTGAATCGAGCTTGGAATCTTTCTTTAAAATGGGACATATTCAATTAGGTGGCCAATCTCACCTAAGCAAAAAAGATTGATGGCGACTCCTTAAGTCATATCTAGCGATAGGTTTATGGATCTATACATTATGACAGTTTGGTGATTTCATTGGAGATATGCCGAGAGTTAGGCCAGTAAATGAATTTGTGTTTCCCAGGCCTAATGGTTTCCTTAAAAAAGATTTTTTTTCTTTTTTTCTTGATTTATTTTTTAAGTTTTTAATATTCTGTCATTCACTTGCATATGCATAGCATAAACTTTACACCCGAGCTATAACCCTTAAAAGGGAGTAAAGTAACTATGCTTTCGTGAAGCTTCATGCCTTCGCATAAGCTAGCAAAATACTCCCACTCAAATTGAACCAATTTCGCTGGTAGCTTATGATGGACAAAGATTAGGTTACCTTACTAGTCTGTGATGGGCAATGATCTGAGGAACAATTGGAGAACCTGTAGAGTTAATTCCAAACCACATATAGTGGGCCGTAATGGACTTAATCCATAGGTAAAGCCATGTCCTTCCTTTTTTGTGGAAATGATTCAGAATTCATATACCTTTCGTTATACGTGAGTTGGGCACTAACTTGTTTTATCTTTTTCATTTTTATATTGGATGCTAACTCAATTCTTGTTTGTTACTACCTTTTTACATGAATCATGTTAACATCAATACCATTGCATAATAATAGGATTACAATTATTTTTAATTTATTTCATGCATCTTACTTATTCATAGATCCTCATCATTCATGTAATGCATTCATCATATCATTACATAATATAAAAGTCTTTTGCTTTATCTAGGTGGCAATTTAGAAGACATGAGTGATTAATTAGAAGCACAGATTCAGGCTTGGAACTCCACTAAGAAAAATTCAAACATGAACTACGATAAGTGAAAACACAACTAGCCAAGTTGATGAAAACAATTGAAAATCTTAATTTTATCCATTCTAAGGAATCTTCATCCTTTCCGACCTATTTGTGTATTGGAAAGACATCAAGGGCCAACATTTATCCAAATCTTACCAACAGCCCAAGTGAAAACCAAATTAGAAAAGAGGTGGATCAGACAAGGATCTCGAATTCCACACAGGTGCCATAGATTGGTTCACT